GTGTCCTCTGCAGCCCACATGTTGCTCATAAACTGATCCTGATGCCTTGTTTTGCTTCCTCTAAGCCAGCTTCTCTGACTTGCTCAGCGCACAGATTGAATAGGTAAGATGAGAGGCGAGAACCCTGGCACACACCTTTTCTGATTTTAAACCATGCAGTATTCCCTTGTCCACAACCGCTTCTTGATCCACCTACAGGTTTTGCATGAGGACAGTGAAATGGTTTGGAGTTCTCACTCTTCTCAGGGCTAGCCACAGTTCAAAATAGAAAGCCTCGTCTTTCTCCAATGGAGCAGCTGGTGGTATTGAACTACTGACCTTGCCCTTAGCAGCCCCGTGAGTAACCCACTATACCACCAGGGATAGCTTTAACTCACTGCCATCGAGTGGGCGTGGACTCAAAGCAACCCTATAGGACAGAGTAGAACTGCCCCTGTGGGTTTCCAAGACCAATTCTCGACAGGAATAAAGGGCCCCTTTGCTCTCCAGCAGAGCGACTGCTGGTTTCAAACGTCTGACCTTGCAGTTAGCAGCCAAACATGTCACCACTAGGCCACCAGGGCTCCTCAGGCCAGCGTTCGCCAGATCCCCAATACTCCTGCGTCTTCCGCTGAGGGAGCTTAGATGAGGAAAAGTGTGTACCCCTTCCCACATACCCCCTTGGTCTTAAGTCCCCAGCTGCTTAGCTGGCACAAGTTCACATTTTTGTCCCCCCACCCCCACCCCGGCCCCTACCCATTTTCAGAGTCTGCAGTCAGAAGTAGAGGGCCAGGACAGCAAACAGGGCCGTCTTCCCCTGGTGCCCTGGGCAGGCCCAGGCAGCATCCCTGTGTCTCATGTAGCCCTGGGCCATCAGAACTGCCCCAGGAGACAGAGGTGCCTGCCAGGGCTTGCCAGCCAGCATGCTAAGGGCACGTTCACCTCTCTCACTGTGTGTGGTGCCTGTGGAGGGGGGGTGGGGGGGTGAGCAGGTGCTGGGCCAAGCTGGGTGCCCGAGGGTGTAACAAGACACAGAGAAAACCTGAAAGACCACACGAAGGACTGCTCCTGACAGGAGGGGGGCAATCTTTGGACCAGCCCATCCCTCTCAAGGGTCTTCCCAGAGCAAGGCTGCCTGCAGCCAACTCAGCACTGGCCGTTCCCCCCTAGCAGATGTGCAGAGAGAGGAACTTCCCAAGGCCACTCAGCAGGGTGGGGGCACAGATTGCCTTGAGATTGTTTTCTGTTCTCTGAGGAGCCAGCAGGAGAGGGACGGGACGCAGGAGGGACATTTCTGGGCTCCCTGCAGGGCGGTCATTCAGGGTGACCCACCACCCTGAGGGTTGGGGTCTTTATGCAGGAGGTGGGCTTGTCTGAAAGGACAGCCTCCATTCAAGCTGTGGAGGTGGCCCAGGGCAACAAAAGGACAGGGAGGGGGCGGGTGTGTGTGGCTGGCCTCCCTGCCCCTGCCTGCTCCACTGGGCACCTCAGGAAGGAGTGTGGGTGGGGTAAGCATGAGGGGCTTGAGATCCAGGAGAGAAGGACGGGGCCATTAGTAGGCCACTGGAGATCCCCTTGCAGAGGGGTCTCGGGTAGGAGATGAGCAGTCAGGGTGCGATGTAACAACGATAAGAAATACAACTTTCCTCTAATTCCTAAATGTTTCCTCCCCGCTCCCACTACCATGACTC